GGGCACTGGTACTTGCCCTCATCACAGCCTGGAGGGGAAAAGTCGAGGTCACAAAGTTTGAGAGCTTCTCCCCACCTGCCCTCACCCAGGTGGAGAGTAAGGGGAGGACACACCACAGCTCCCAGGGAAGGAGGGAAACGACCCCTCCTCCAGCCAGGAGCACCCGGCAGTCTGCAGGGCTACCAGGGGTGGCCCAGAGTGCAGATGCCAGAGGCAGGTGCTGGACTCCAGGGGGACCTAGGCCTCAAATCTGGCTCTAGCACTTCCTAGTGGGGCCACCTCTTCATAGAGCTTCAGTTTCCTCACATGTCAAATGGTTATTAATATGGCTACCTGGGAGGGTTATTGCAAAGATAAATAAAATGTGGTCATATCTTTCTGTCCTGTGCCGGCTAGATCCCAAATGCTCTGTACTCACCTGGTGCTAATGCCAGGTTACTACCACAGGTTCTGCAAGCTCCACTCCTGTCTGTAGAGGAACTCTTGGGCTGCCTCTCTGCTGGGCCACCTCGGGACCCTGGGCCATCCCTTCCTCTTCCCGCTCTAAGGTGGTGGCGCTCCAGGAGTCTGGAAGGGTGGGTGTGACAGCAGAATTGTCTTGCGGCTGTGTTTGCACAGCAAATGTGCAGCTCTTACTTCCAGGGTGTGTGATTTGGGGGTGCTTTGGGGGTAGCTGATCGAGATTATGAGCCCAAGCCAGTCCTTGGGGAGGTAGGGGCTGCTCAGGGTCAGGGCCTGAGGCTCAGTGCTGGGATGTGCCTGCTGGTGGGGAGAACAGAGGGTGCCTCTGCATGCCTGCCCCTCCCCAGGAGGGGGAAGGATGGGGTGCTGGTGCGGAGCGGGGCCCCACTCTTTTCAGGGCAATGACGTGGGCAGGAACCGGCTTTCAGACTTACAAACCGCAGTCTGCTCAGAGTCTTTATTAATTCCAGGACCGGGAGAGAAGTTGGAGCCAGCTGGAGAGAGCTTGCGGTGGGGGGATCCAGGAGAGGTGTGGAGGGGCGCTTGCAGGGATAGACTTGAGGCTGCTGGGCCAGGCCTCTCTCTGCGGGACCAGGGCCCTATATCCTGCCCCCTCCCCCCGACCTGTGTTCCCCCTTCTTCTTAGCATCCCATGCTCACTGCAGGAGCCCCATGAACTCATATCCACCAAGGCTCTGCACACCTCCAAAGGGGAGCCTCAGTTCAGAACCCCATCCGTTAACTGGATTACCCAGTGCAGTTTAGCCCAGTGCCTTCCATACATAATGGAAAGACGAGGGGTTACAGTTATCAAACAATTTTCATCCATTCATTCACTCATACATTCAAGAAATCCAACAGCCCTCAGCTGCTCTGGCCACCTCCCTGCATAGCTATAAGGATTAAATAAGGTCATCAACTTCCCATAGAGGGCTCCCCAAATGCTGGGGAAGCCTGGCTTCACCATTATCCTTGACAAGCCACAACTGCGGGGCATCCAGGTGAGTCACTGACAGGCCGTCTCTGTCCTCAGCCCCTCCAGGTTCAGCCCTTTTGGAAGAACAGGGCCGCCAGCCTCCACACGGCTCTGAGCATGCGGCTGCTGTGCTCAGAAACCCTCAGTTGCCTTCCGGATAAAGTCCAGACTTCTGAGAATTGCCTTCAAATCCTTGGCCCTACCCAGCTCAACTTCTCTGTCACTCTCCTTCCCCCTGGCCAGCCAGCCTCCCTTCTGGTTGATGCCGCTGCTCCCAGCTGCCAGGCTTGTTCTAGAGGCTGGACACGGGACCATTGTTGCCGACGTTCCCTGGTCTCAGCTTCCCTCTCTGCAGGTCTGTGCCCTTAGCATCCTTGCCCCTTGGATCTCTACGAGGGCCCATAGGTACTCAGTATTTCATCTTATCCCCTGCTGGCCTGGCCTTCCGCGGAGCCAGCTAGAGGATGGAATCATTTCTGTCTCCCGCGTTGTCCAAGAGTGTCTGATAATAGGCAAAGATGCGCTCTTCAGAAGATGGGGACACCGCCAGGATGCTGGGGTGCAGTTTTTGTCTTTTCCCTCGTCTACACACGGTCCTTTTATCCACGGAGAGCAGGGTGCTCCATCTGCATGAAACCTTGAACCAGAGAGAGAGATCAGCGCGGGCTGCCTGGCTAGTCTGGGAAGAGCTTGGGGTCAGGCAGACCCAGGACCCTGCTGTGCTCCCTACAAGGTGAAAGTCTCTGCCATCGGTCATTTTCAGCTCTGCGTGCGGGAGGGAGGAGCGCGACTTTCTCATGTGGACCTACCTAGGTGAGGTTTGCCACAGAAAAGACTGTGGATTGGGTAGCATGGGTTCAACCACCTGCCCTCATCCCTGAGACCCAGCTGCAGGCATTGAGAAGATGGCCAGAACTTTCTCATCCTCTGATTTAAAATTTTCTAGTAGTCATATAACATAAAAGATACGTAAAATTTAACCCACTACATCTAAAGTACTATCACTTGAACATGTCATTGATAGGGAAAGTATTAATGAGAGGTTTTGCCTTCGTTTTGTACTCCCTTAGAACACATCTCAATTGGGACTAGCTGCATTTCTAGTGCTCAGAAGGCACGTGTAGCCAGTGGCCACCGGAGCGGACAGCGCAGGTTGAGACTATGAGGGGACGCGTGAGAATGAGCCTGACTTAGGACAAGAGAGGGGGGAAAGCTAAATGGTGACTTCTGCTGCTCACAGTTCACAGGTGAGAAGGGTGTGAGGATGAGGGAGAGAGCCAGGGCAGGAGGGACGGCCCTGCGGGCTGGCAGGGAAAGACCTGGGCGCACCCACGACAGGCAGCCCCAGGGGAGAGGCCCTGCCCTCACCCTGGTGACCGAGCCAGAGCGGGTACCGCCTACTGAAGGGTACCGAGCAGCATCGGCCCAGAGCCAACACTTTGGCTAGAAAATGAGAAAGGCCTGTGTAGCTCTTGTTGCCCAGCGGCAGCCGGGACCCCTCTGACAGCAAGAAGCCAGGAACAGAAGGAACCTGCAACAGGACAGGTGTCAGGCTTCATTGGAGGTAAAGGGTCTGCAGCCGAAAAGAGATGGGGCACTGCTGGTCTGGGCCACCTGAATCTCACTTCACGCAGGCGTGGCTTGAGGGGAGAACCGGCTGTGCGTGGAGAGGGGTTTAGCAGCTGCGAGGGGGCTGGGATTCCAGGACAGGCTGCTTCTGCAACCCCAGGCTAGGGTGCTGGGAGCAGAGTGGGGCAGGGGTGTGTGGCGCCAGTGGTCAGTGATATGACCGGGAGTGACACTGACTGAGATAATTAGCAGGTCACCTAGTCGTTCCTGATAATGGTGGTGTAAAGAGTCATTAACCCAGGGAAGCCCCCGTTTCCATAATGGAGACAGGGCTTTGCACACGCTTTTCAAGATTGAAGGCTCGTCTTAAAAGCCTGGTACACAGCAAGTGCTCAAAGGTGGGATGAGGACCACAGCACCATCTCAGGCAACCGAAGCAAACCACTGAGGCTGGGGGAGGGGGGAGGCAGCCCCTCCCACAAGTACCAGCCCCTCTACCACCCTGGGATACCCTGCCCTGAGCTGCCTTTGATCCAGCGACCTCTGTGCAGTCACTGCCTCTGCTCAGGCCCTGGTGTTTGCGTGTCTGAGTCATTTGTCAGTCTGGGTCCTTGGCGGGTGCAACCTTAACCGGAATCGAACCTGGACCCTTTAGT